ATTTTGTAATTTGTATTAACGATCTAAACAATTTCGAAACAATCAACAAAATCATTGCTAGACAACAACCAGACAGTAGTTAATTATCATATCGTTACAGACTGCTCTATCTTTTTCACGCGAAGTGGGTACCAGTACGATAAAATAGCCAGTACCACTATACAAAAGGTCCAAAGAGATTAAAGGTCCATTTTTTTAGATGGGCAGCTGCAATCCAAAGGGGACATTACTTAATAAACGTACGCATCCGGGGTGCGGTCCAGCGACCATTGTTTCAAAATCGGTAAATGGGTGCAGGCATCCGTCGGCGAGCACGGCCGAAAGGGTTAAAGGGTTACTAAAGGATTAAGGGTTAAGGGCTGGACCACGCGGCGGACACCTGGACGATCTGCAGGAGTCCCACCCAGAAGATGAAGACAAAGAGGAAAGGAAAAAAAAACCGAACATAAAACACTAAACAGAAATAAACCTACGAACGGTCCAGACATCCGTCGTCCCTTGGGATGACCAAAAAATCCTGAAGGACGACACATCTGCGAAGAATTCCTATATCAGTTTTACAAAGGACCCCAAACCCAAGTCCTCTGAACGCACAGACTCCTGACGTACGAATCAATTAATAAACCAGCAAACCCCAAAATAATATTCTCAGCCTCAAAAAGCCATTCAAAAAATTAATATCGCGACCCTTCGTAAAAATAACCTGTTTCCTTTCTCACTGAAAAAAAAAGAGAGGACCAAGACAAAGAAACAAGAGAATGGTAAGACTACCCCGTCAAGGAGGGTAGCTGAGAAAAGATCCATCCAAGGGTTGACTAAAGCGAGTCCTCTAAACATATAGGATACGAGGTCCTGCAAGTCGAATTATGAAGGCCTCTCTTAGCATTTGAAACTTTTTCTCTTTCTATCTCACACGTTCACATATGCCCGTATCTATATTACATACTCATATGCGTGCATACCAAAGACACGGAGAGCCAGGACTAATAACGTATGCACCGCGCAGCTGCGCCATGTTTTGTTCTTGTAACGCTACAGGTTCTTGAATTTCACACACGTATTCCAGCCACGTATGTACGTATATGACCCATGCGTGCGCGTATATATATACATATATATACAAGCGTATACGCATATACGCGCAAAAACGCAGTCGGGGTTCCAACCTCCATTGTTTTACCTAGCGAGACTAGTTTTTGTTTCACTTGGGCTTATTATATGCGCTTCTCGCACTGGTCCTTACCAGCTTCAACTGATGCTGCACGCTGCACGAAAACAATAGTTTTCCATTTTTTTCGTCCCTACGAGAGACTCCAATTCCGAGTGGGGAGGACACGTACGCCACGTTGGATGCCAGCCAATCCGGTCAAACGGTTCCGTTCGTATAGAAAGGTTCTGGGAGAAGAAAAAAAAAACAATGAAAGGGTTAAAGTTGATACAATTGAAAACGGGAGCGTAACGCTCCATTTATTTTTTACACTCGACTCCCGGTTCTCTTTTGTCTATAGGACCAGTCTAGCCTGTCGCGCCAATTGCGACCTACCGCTCTCGCGTAACGTTTTCCTTTGATCAATCCTTACCGTGGGATTTCTTGTTTTTTTTTGTTGACTTTTTCCTTTCTTCCCATTATGGTTTATTGCTTCGCACTTTTTCACTGTCCTCGGGGTCTGGACATTTTTAATGATGCCTGTTACGCAATTGTGTATGAAATGGGAAAAAAAAGTCGTTTTTCTTCGCTTTCCGTATTGGAATCATTGATGACTAACTGTGATGGAATTCTGAATGAAGCTTCGTTTAAAGTGATTTGAAATAGATCAAGGGTACATGGAATGTAAATATTAAGTTTAAAAATTAAAAAAAATGTTGTGTTTCTTAATTAATTATAAAATTTTAGATTTTGACAATTTCTATCGTAATCAGGATACACTATCGATTTTAAATAAAACGTAAGCCTTGCCTAATTTCCGTTTTTTTCAACCGATCGAATACTTGGAATAAATCAGGATATAAATTGAACCTAAATTTCAAGTGAAGCTTTCTGCCGTGCAATCGTTACTGTGAAATGAAAAATTCTGCGATGTAAAAAAAAAAACAAAATAAAAAGTCAAAATCCTCTGTCGAAACTGTCACGAGAACAAAGAATTATGTAGCACGACGCGCGGGGCCGACAAGCTATGAATAAATGCGTGACAAAAGACATGACAATGACGTCCGTTATTTACGAGACAGAAAAACCATCGCCGCGAGAACGTTACCCATCGAAAGTCAGGTGACCTACACGTTGCTGCTATATCTGCATACTTCGTACCCATCAAGCCTCGTGAGAAAGTCACCCCACGACGACCCAATAACTTCTCCGACTAACGAATCGTTCCGAGCGCATAAATTGAAACGCTAAAAGCAGAATTGGGTAGGAATTAGGAAAAGCGCCACGAAATGGGACGGTGATTACGAAGGGGATGGCACACCAGGACGGGAACGAAGAGACCAGAATAGGGTGGAAATCAGAGATATACCAGAGGTGCCTGTAGAAGGTAAACTGGAGAAGAGGACAGAAGGAGGGGGAGGGGGGGGCGATAAGGTTAGATCGAGGCTTGGAGACTGAAGCCCTCCTGAACTCGTGTACTCGTAGGGGATGGACGGCTAATGTTGGAGGGTGGGCGCTACGAACGAGAAAGTCGGAATTTGTCGGTAGCACCATGGGCAGGATGACTGGGAGGGGGTGGGCATTCGGAAGGGTGGTTCGTTTCGGATACAAGGGGGATGGAGATGCTTCGGGGTTGCAATGGAGGGTGCCGAGTGCCGCGTAAATAACTTCCATCTTCGAGGGAGCCCGCTGGCTTGGCGAATAAAAAAAAGGACTAGAAGCAGAAGAAGAAGAAGAAGAAGAAGTTGGAGGAGAGGCAAGGTGGTAGGGTAGCGGGTAGAAAATGATGATGAGTAAAAGAGGAACCTTGATAACCGAGCTGGTTGGTTTGGGGGGTGAAGCCTGTCGGGTTCGGGTGTGCTTCGAAATAGCTCCTGAGAGTTAGCGTGTAGAGAGACGATGAAGACCAAGGGAGAGGTAAAATATTCTTAATGAGCAAAGACCTTCAAGTATTGACTCAAAATGGCGGACGCCCTTTCAAGTCGTCTTGTTAAGCATTATTCCGTATACCGCGTTTCGGCTTTCTCGCAATTTACTCGTACTAAGAATATTTTACATCTCTGCAGGTACATTGCATTGGTGGATTATATAGATAGGTGTACGTATAGGTGTATATTTTATACTTTCAGGATATTCCAAACCAATACAACTGCTAGAGCCACGAGCACCTTTGTGGCTCTTACAATCAGGGGATGAAAGATGGCCGACATCGTCGATGCGAACAATGAACCGACGTTCCTTCCCATTGGAAAACACCTTCGAATTCTTGTTAGCGCTGCCATAACCTCTTTTGCATTAGAGCCTGTATTACCATTCTTTTAGTTTTTCCTTCTATTCGCTTCTCTTGTATTTTTTCAGCCTCTTTGTATCACGTCAATAAAGCTGCCGTTCATTCCTGTTCCTTTGTTTGCCAAACGAGACGGTTCGAAGTTTTCGCAAGCTGTATAATTGGGAAGCTGTATAATCTGTATTATATGCAGGATGGATGGGAATTAAAGGCCATTTGTCGCTGATACAATTGCGGCAAGTCTCTTCGTGTTTGATGACCTGTAGATATTATTCCTGCGTTATAAAACTTTCAGGTTTCATCCGGGCGCCATGCTTTGTATGTACGTACCTGGTGTATTGTTCATTGAGTGGAATTGACGTCAGGACTATGTAGAGATAATTAAGAGAATCATTGATGCTACGTATTTGTCAAGAATACACAACACGGTATTCGCATTCCAGTAATATAACCATAAATAAAAACATTTCTATTGCCACTTACTGCTGAAAGTAAATTACATCAGATTAAGTAATAGCACTTTTTAACTGTCTAGTGCACATGTTTGGTCTGGCAGACTCGACGCTTCTACATTTCTTATGAGCCACGAATTAACGCATTTACTGAAGGGTTAAGTTTGGTTAGAAACTTTATAAATTTCTACAATGCAGAGAACTAAATGAAAAGCTTGTGTTCATATATTACGGTGTGATAACATTGTTTTGTTGCACAAACGACGGAAGAAGATAGAGTAAATGGGGATTTTACAAGAAAGTTACGAGAAACCGGATCTGAATGGCATCGGTACAGCTGCACCGATTATTCAAAGTAGACAATTTTGTTCTTTAGAATTTAGCACAAAAGAGACTGAAGCTACTGGACAGTGGACTAAAAAAGGTAAAAACAAAAGGAGGAAGAAGAGGTTGAAACGACATCCTCATAGTCACGTGATCGCGACCAGGGTGGATTATTTAAAAGAGACCAGCCCGAGGCTGCAGCATGGCTTGTTAGAACTTTGCCTTCGCTTTGAGAAGGCTTCTCGTCCTCGCGAAGCATTGAAATAAGGGTTAAAAATGTATAAGATAAGACAGACGGGCGGAAGGTGAAATCGCAAAGAGTACGCGGCCCTTGGTTGAGGAACGTGAAGAGAAAGAAGGGTTGCTGAGAGTTACGGAGAGAAAGCGAAAAGGAACGTGCAAGCGAATCGGATGGCGAAGAGGGATGAAGAGAGGGATGAGCCAGAAATGGTCGGAGAGAAGTTTCATTATTGATCAAAGAAACTGAGTGTCGCTTCCCACTCCTAAAGCTCGTTCTATTCAACTCGCCTTCGGGTTTCCATTAAAAATACCGTCATCCCTTTACGTATGTACAGCACACCCCAATAGAATCCCCTACAGAGTAACCACCCTGTGCATCTTTTCCTTATCCTTCGAACCTTCTCGATTCTTGAAGGTTGCGCTGCTCTATCTCAAAATTATTAACATAATCTTATAGTATATGAAACTATAATTGAAGATTGTTAAATCCATATACAAATGTATTAGCGAAGCAATTTCTGTCAATTGTCTAAGAAATTTAGCTATTGTCCTTACCTTGCAACTGTTACGTACTTCCAACAGACAGTCGAAGAATGTACGCGCGACTTGATTCTGTAATTTAACCTGATAATGCACTTGGTACTCACAATATTAGTTACACAAATTTGCACTAGAGAAAGTTAGATACACACTTCTTCCTTGGTTGAATTTACACATCACACGGGGGTCAAGTACCAGAGATCTAAACGCGAAGTTGCGTATTCACGCGGTCACAGATGAAATGAGTCTCGACAATTTCAAAAGCGTTAACTAACCGTCAACTGCAAACGCCCAGGTAGCAATCTTTTCGATGTTACGAAAAAGTCATCCGAATGTGTTACATATGTCCACCAAAAAAGCATCTTAAAGATATTCGACGTCCGAAAGTTGACTTTCCGACATGGGTTAGCTTACAGATAACTTTCTAGCGGACATATGTAACCCATGCACATTATTTTTTCGTGACATCGAAAAAATCGCTATCTGGGCGGTTGCTCATTATTACTGACGTAGGAACCTACCAGTGTGACCAACGGTAATCGATACATAAACGAGATACATATCTACTGTATCAAGAAATGGTAACTAAAAGTTACAGAATAACGTGTTAGGAAGATTATCGTAGTGATGAATTGATGACTAGATTTGGTACAGTAAATTGGAGTAAGATATATTTGTATTCATTTTCACGTAAATTTTACAAATATATAATGACGAATGAAGACATAGTGTGGGAGGAATTATCAGGCCTCCCAGCAGATCCGCCTGATATGCGAGACAAGTGTATTCAGTGCAGGTACACTCATCATAATTATTGTGCAGGTTAGATTATTTAAAATAATATTCTAAAGCTAATTGAATTTTTAAACAGGAGGCCAGTTGCAGTTTGCTGGTGTCCAGGTTTGCCAAAGAATCCTTTGAATCCAGCATCGAGATTGATCATTCTGCAGCATCCTGCTGAAGTTAAAAGATGTCTTCGAACAGCACCCATGCTCACTCTTGCTCTAGAGCATGGCAAGTGCCTGACGTTTAGGTACAGGATCAAAAATGTAATAAAAGTCAGGATATTTAACGGTATCCTTAAATATATATTTCTTGGCTCGTTATAATCATGTGTAGTATACATTGGCATTATTTAATATTGATTTTAAAACCAAAAATACAAATTTATAGATTGCCTTGTCAGGATCCAAATTAATATATTTTTTTAGGGGCAAAAAGTTTCCACTTCCAAAACATGAAGGTTTAACAGAAATACTGAAAGATGAGAATACAGTTTTACTTTATCCTTCACCTGGAGCTATTGCCTTGGATGAACTTACTCCAGTTGGAACTAATGCGCAGAAACCGTACAATTTAGTACTATTAGATGGTACTTGGCCACAAGCAAAAGTAATGGAATTATTTTTTTAAATTTGGGTAATTCAAATTGTAACTGACCTGTTTTCTATAGGCTATTTATCACTCCAGCCCTGCTTTGTATTTCTTACGAGCTTGCAAGCTTGTAGGAGTATCAACTAGTGAATATGTTATAAGAACACAGCCCACAGAAGGGTGCTTATCTACTTTGGAGACTGGTGCACTTGCACTTTCCATTTTAGAAAGGACACCAAGAATTAAAGAGGAAATGCTGGGTCCACTTCATTACCTCTGCAGGTAAACATAAACAGAAATAATCAGTTACTTGCATACATATACTTTCAACTAATATAAAATTGTGTTTACGTGTAGATTTCAATTAGAAAATGGTGCTGTAACACATCAGAGTAAAGAGTTTCTAATAAAACAAAAATCTTATCCAAAATTAATTGGTAAAAGGCTAGCAAAGCAACTTCGCGTATTATCCGAGGAGCCTTAATCAATAAAATATATTGTTACACAGTGAAGAATTTTTATATCATGAGGACAAAATAAAGTTAATTTCAGAAAATATTAAACACAGTTTTATTTTTAAATCTGCTTATAACTATCATTAATGTTTTCTAACTGTATTAAAATGAAACTGCATTGTTCCATCGGCTGGATAAAATTTCAATGACCAAGAGAGAGTGTCTTGTTCTGTTACTTCATTTATTTTTCGAAGTAAATAAACTCCTTGCCGCGTATATGGATCCCAAGATATCCTTGATCCAGGCTGGATTTTTTTAACAGGGCCTGAAGAAACAATGACATTTGAATCCAAGTACCAATCGACCCACAAAGCGACACCGTTACAGGATCCTTTACTGTAATTAAATATTAGTTATATTCATTTTTCTAAAACTTACTACTTAAATATGACACTACATAAAGATTTTGTTTATAGTAACAATTTTCTTTTCAATTCTAACCTTGATATAGCAACACTATCCAAAAATTCAGTCGGTTTATACAAATTCACATCCTGTGTCAAATCAAAGCTAGCTAAGACAAATGGAGATCCCAGTGCCTTTGCAGGATACTCCCACAGGGGATGTGCTTCTACAGGACTATCACTGATATCACTGGAGTCCTAAAGAAATTCAAATCCATTTCATATTACAATATGCATTCTTTTAAGAAAGAATAAAAACCGTATACCTGAACGAGTTTGTCAAAAGCGCTCATATCAAATCCTTCACAAATGCCAAGTGGAGCACGTATTTTATGAAGATCCTTAAATTCTACAGCAACACCAAGTATTTTGGCAGCTGTTGGGATCCTCGGAATATTCGAAGGGTACTTGGAGGCCAGATACCAAAAACGTAAGTTGTACCAAGGCAAAATAGAGGTGACAAAGTACGGTTCACCGACAATCAGATCAACCTCTTCAGCCGATGGTAGTTGTTCAGGAGTATCTATAATCTGCACTTTTTCCGAAAGATTATTAGCTTTTATAAACATCTCTGTCGTTCTTCTAGACAGAGAATTCGGCTCAAGAACAACCACTTTCTTGGCTCCTAGTTTCGCAGCTGTAAGACCAATCAAGGAGCCATCTGACAAAGAGACACAAACTTTATTTGGCTTGATCATTTTCTTAATAGCTTTTATAAATTTTCGATTACGCTCTTCATCATTTAGTTGACCGATTCGTGTTCTGGAGAAAGCTACGTGAACGCAACATTCGCAGATGGGTCTTTCGCCTACTTTTTCTTTGATTCTAGAAACAAAAATATGGAAGATATTGATAATATTTTTAAATATGTAGCCAACGCAAAAATTAAGGATATTATACTTTGTTTCGTCCTTTAATTGGAACCATAAAGAATATTCGTCGTGGGAACCAACAAGAGTAATTTCATCCCCTACAGTAACTGACTTTGCTACAGGAAGGTAATAAACAGCCTGCATCCAATGGTCTCTCCATGGTATGCGATCAGCCAGTTGATCCAGAGAAAGATTCTTTGATAATTTTGATTCAGGATGTTCCCAAACTGGGGCACAGCTTAGTAATACCTTTTAAATATAGATAAGTATAAATAGAGGATAAACATTAAATATTTGACAATGCTTTTCCAGATGTTTAATTTACCTGACCATCCATGTCCATGTCTAGTTCCCACCACATAAAGACAGCATGAGCGACTCCTGAAGCAATAGACTTGGCACAAATGGAAACGCTTTCATTAAACTTTAACGGAGTCGCACCAGACCAATTAAATCTATAAACAGGACACAGTCAGATCATATACATTTATTAACTTTTTTGCCTATTCATGATAATGTACCTAAATATGGGTAAAGGTGGTAACAAAGGTCTAAAAGAACTTTGTGGAAGATAAGTTAACTGAAGATCATGTACAGCAGATACACCAGAACAAGTTTTTATTGAAGTCGGTGCATCTATTAAAACTTTTTTATCATCACCATGAGACAGTGGTTGAACCCTGTTCCAAGCACAAACCATAGAACTTTCGACAACTTGAGCCCATACTGTACCCCTACTAGGCACGATGATACTGTCTTTCTAATACAGAAAAAATTGCATACTCAATGGATAGTAATATAACTAACCTTGATAAAAATGATAGTAAATTTCAAAAACTGCCCTTACTTCCAAGAGGACTTGTTGAGCATGATGAAATGTGGATAGAGCACCTTCACCAATTAATTCTGTATCAAAAACTTCAGTTACCAAAATGTTGGCTCTTTTTGTCATATCGCCATTGGGACCTACTTTCATTTCCGTTGATCTCTTTGGTATCAGCTTTATCTTTCCTTCAAAACCATTTTCTTTTATTATTTTATTAGCACAGTTAGCCATAGGTCTGAAAGCCTAGAATAAGAGCAACGCACTTTAAAATAGATTACTAAGTAAGTAACAGTGGAAGTAATTACCTCACAAGCGATAATAGAATCTGCACCACATTTTGCAGCCATCATCGAAAGCAAACCAGTACCTGTACCAATATCTAAAACATTTGCCTCCTCTCCAGCCTGATGCTTCTTCTTAATAGCAGCTTTCAAAGCAATATAATATTTCTGATTCTACAAATAAAAATGATATTCTTTAATAAAATATTTTACCAGAGATCCTGTGAACCTTAAAAGCATTTTATAAATGAAGATTTACCCTTTCATGATCATGAAGCATATCAGCAAATGCTGATCTCGCTACTTCCTGGTGAAAATCATAATCAGGATCCTTTTCTTCCCAATTGACAGTCCCAGTTATAGGATTCAAATTTTGTGTAAATATACTCATAGTGCGAAGAAGTGTAATACGATTGAAAACAGTCTTCAACATGTATTCTTAATAGACATATGAATGATTTAATTATAGGTATAACCGATCACAATGATAAATGTACGTTATCACACGTAAAAGCCGGTTAGTTCAAAAGACACGTGCGTTTCTTAGTGTCAAGAAGTCTATTGTCATATTTCACGAACTATAATTAGATTAAGTCTTACATATATTTGAACAAGACAAAATAAAAAAAAAAGTGTACCAAAACAAATTTTGGAGCACTTTAATTTTGAGTAATTATATTTATAACATCAAAAATATATTAAACTTCGGATTAATCTGACCGCACCCGGAAAACATTTCTTTCTCAAGTAAGTACGCTCCTGATGATATGTGACTATCATTAAAGACGCTCGTGACGCTCGTGACCGAAATTTCCGCAAATCATGCGCAGCAGAAGATTTTCCTCCACTAATTTGTTGCTCGTGAACCAAAGAGTGTGAAAAATCTTCTCGAGTCTACATTCTGCTGATGTCATTCTGAAAGCGTATTTGCGCTGATTTGCGCGTACTTCACTGTTGAGTTGCATCAATTTGTGCAAGTTGAAAATCATCAAACTGGACTCGAGGAACAGCATTACGTCACTAAAAATTGAAGTTAGTCTTATATTTAAAAAAAATGTATTAGAAAATAATAGCGCTTTCGATTAGAAAAATTTTCTAGAGTCACCAAATGTGTTATGATGCAGAATTGTAGTCGCACGAGGTTACATTTTATAACTAGTGATACAAAATTTTGTAATCGAAAGCTCTTTAAGAATATACGCATCATATATTTACTCCAAAAGAAGGCAGTGATGCCTTATATTAATTTTTTTATTACAGATAAAGGTGTCATCATATTGCATATTCAAGAGCCATATAACCTACTTTAAATTACATGAAAATTGTTTGTATTATATAAACAATTGTTAACGCCTAAGTGATGAGAAATGTTATTAATAAAATTTATTCAAATTTTGACAAGATCCCTTAACGTTGTTTAAGATTGCATAACAGTATTTGCTTAACCTGGATATATTTCTAATTAATATTTTGTTTTTACAGAGGTGTTAAACTGTCAAAATCTTTGTACACTCTGGCCACCCTTAAGATTTTCTGAAAAAATGGAACAGACACAATATCAAAGTGATTACCAGTACTTTAACTGCGGCTTTCAAGCTGGAAGTCACATAGTTCAATCACATTATATAAAGGATCACGAAGATGATCCTTTAGGTAACTATAAAAGTTAAATCAAATAATAGTTTATAATAGAACTGTTTAAAACTGACAAAAGTTATAATTGTAGCTTCTCCTGAAATAACTGTTAGCTTTAATCACGAGTGGATGCTGCTTCCTTTGGAACCGCTTGAAGAACCTGAAGAGGAAATTTTCAGTGACAGTGAATTAGAAGTTCTATCATATATAGATGATTGTAGTCTCAAAGTGAGTATCTTAGTTTTAAAAGCACACATATTTCTTGTGTCAAAATTAAATACGCACGCCAAAATACTAAATGCCTAGTGCCTTTTTATATCCAAGTGAATTCAAGTAACCGAAAATTTATATAATTTTTATAGGAGCAAGTTGTGCCATGTAGTCCATTAAATGACAGTCACTTCTATTCCGAAGAAGACCTAACAATTTCTGGTGGCGAGGATGATGAAGAATACAATGAGAATAATGAGTTAGTCGAATTATCATTGGGTCAAGAAAACTTGAATGGCTTTGACTCTCATCCACCGTGAAAACGATTGATTTTCATGCAGATGATTGCAAACTGTCTAAAAGATCACTATGAGAAGTAACACCGCGATTGAGGGTGTTAAGTAGAGACGTTGGCGACGTACGGTGTGCAAAATGAAATAGTTCAAGAAGAAAATAGAGAGACACGTTTTATAGTTTTCTCTCTGTTTTGTAACCTAAGTGGCTAAACCACAAGTAGAGTGGCGAAAACGATATAGTCCTGGTCTGTGGCCAGAAAGCATCACTATTTATTATCCTGGCCAATATTATGCATACGACTAATGAATGTAGGTAGCAGAAACTTAAATCTATAATTTTCTTATTACTTGCACGTGTAAATAAGGTATTCGAAAATATTACCTCCTCAAATGAAATTTCAAGATGTAATATTAAGATAAAATTTAATTTTGTAAACGATCTTTGGGTTGTATGGACTTTAATAACAAAGGATATGGATATATAAAGCAATATAGGATAAATTGTGAATCAAACTAACAGTTGACGGTGCACGTTTACGGTCATTCATACCAATATTATCCATCACGAAAAGTTATGAATTCAGGTGTGACTAAGCTTCAGCAACAATGAAGCTCATTAACTAATGATGATAACATTTCTGACTTGGTCGAATTCGAATATTATTGTCATTGATCAATGATCTTAATTATTGATCAATCACACTCACCATCGTTAAAATTAACCGTTGCCGAAATTTGTAACTTCCCCCGAATCATCCTACACATTATTCCAACATTTTAGGATTTTTAAGCTAAATCTAAAAATACAAAAATTGCACAAAAATGTGAACGAATTGTGAAATAATAAGACGCCGAAATTTACCTCATTATTGCAATAGTACAATTAAGTTGAGATTAAAAATATTGCCAGTATCTTGTATCAGATTCATAAAAGTCAGTGTATAACACATTGACTGTTTGAATTGTTCAAATATTTTTATAAGTTAAATCACTATAATTCATTAAAACTCATCTTCACTGTTTTGATTGTTTTCATTTTGACAACCAACTCCTAGAATTATTATTTAAATAAAGGATGTAATTGCCATTATTTGACGCACTATGTACTTTTCTTAGTCAGGGTCTGATTTTGGACTTTAAATAGACACAGTAAGCACTTTTTGCTTTTGGATGACTTTATTGAATACATTTTACTTATTTGATTTGTGGAAGTGTTATTTTCATATCGAAATGTCTAGATTTTTGGTACATGACTATTATGTACCCTGAAAAATGTAACTTTAATATTAATATTCTACTGAAAAAGTTAAATTATGTTTGGTGCAAATTTATATTTGTAGGCACACTATCTATTAATTATAATCAATGACAATAACTTTCCATATATCATTATCCAGGACGGCTAGGCTGACATCTTTATATTTTTTATTAGATTTAAAAGATCCAAGTGCCGTCTATAAATTGAAATGCATTTTTCTGTATTTCGGAAAAAAATTTCATATGCTTCATTATACTTATACGATCAATACCATGTAGAATCCATAAATATCGACAGTATTATCATAAGTTTCAACGAAATTTGTTGTTGCAAAAATGTACGATATTATACATGTCGTTGATATTGTATACGTCGACCTTGTACATAAGTTGATCAAAAATTAATCCATTCTACGTGAAAATTATTTTGACACTACTATAACGGGATACACGAATAGGAACTTACCGAGCACTCACACTATTTACTAATTTTTCGTTGAAGACAAATCATTCTACATTTTCATTAATTTTAAGATCCATATTTCTCAGCTTCCATTTTCGCAAGCTCACTGTCAAGGCAACTCTTTTCATATTCTACAAATTTTTCATACTATATCGTCCATGTTCATTGATTTCTGTTTGACACTAGACAGAAAATCATTACTTCACGTAAACACCTTGTTTTTTTTGAACAAAAAACAAGAATACTTCAAACAGGCACAAAGTTTATGTGGCCATACTAAGTTCCTGATCCATTTCACTCAGCATATTGTACAGCCTCGTTTTGACATCGTCAGCCACTGCAGCTCTTGGTAAATATACAGAATCAATTTGTGGATTTGCACACTGTCTCAATAATACAGCCAATGTGCTAGTAGTATGTTCAGACATAAGTAAACCAGGAATGATGATGGTGCCCGAAAGCGTCCACCCAAGAAAGATTTTCTCGCAGATGATCTGAAAGAAAAAATTAAAAACCCAAGAGGAACGCAAGAGCGAGAAATTACTAGCGATTAATAAAGATATTATGATTATTTACTGTAACAATAATATAGATATGATAATAATAATTTTTTAAAATTAATTATAAATACCTGCATATTATTATTAACAACTGGAATCTCACAGCGCTTGTTTTCCGAACACAATGATCGACAATCAAAATAATCACAATCTTCGTGTCTCTCACATTCGCTATTGTCAGCCGTCAGACGGCTGACGACAGTTTTTGGAAATACAGCATCCAAATCGAGAAATTTTAGTCTCTGGCCGCCAAGTGGTAACCCAAAATGATTTATTTTTACGTCGCACAGATGAAATGGTTCTGGAAAGTTACTATCAAGCTCTTCTAGAAGATCCAAAATCATTACGGCCAATTTCACTCGTTTGGCCCATTCGGGTTTCGAATCTGACAGTGCCAAAATTGTCGTTGGCGTTTCGATAGGACTGACGTATTCCACCGCGTAAAAAGTACCGCAAGTTCCAATCAATTGTGGAAACACGTCACGATCTTCGTAAAGTATTGATATCACGTATTCGTTCTCTTGCAACAATGGCCATACGTTTTCCATTTCTAGGCGACGTTTTTCCGGATTTGTTTCCACATGATGATTGCGCAATCGACTCAATCGCTCTAATTGCTGTTTAGAAATCGTTTGATTCAATTTAGTTGATATAAGACTCTTTATCATTTCTCTAAAATCCTCTTCAGATGGATAATGCTTTACGGCCGACGAGTCGACCGAAAATATTGATCCGAATTGATCAGTTCTTTGCTTTGATCTGTAAAAAATAAATTTTTGATAAATTAAAAAATTTTGCAAAAATATTGTCATAATTAATATAACAGTTTTCCAAATTTGAAAGAGGATTACTGAATTTCGAAAATAAGTAATTCTGCGCACCTCGATGACTTGAATACAAGACGCGTCGTTTCCCAGTGGGCGGAAAATACGGCTTCCTTTCCGGCATGTAGTGTTTCGCAAGCTAACGTGTGAATTCCACGTTCCGAGCATAATGGACCACATAAGATTCCCACAGCAATGCCCTCTGAATGTCTTTTACACTGAAATCATTATATATAAAAATTAAGCCTGTACATATTAATGTTTTTATGACTTAAATATGAGAAGTACATTCACGAAAATAAAATATGTAATAAAAATTAGGTTAAGGACAGTGCATTTCTCACTAACTAAAAATAATTAAATACAAACAGAACTCGCCCAAAAGAAATGTGTTGCATCAAATATAAACAGTCTGCTCCAGTAATTTCTATGAGATAAGAGAACTAATATGTGCACTATATTCGCTTTATATTGATATAACAGAAACAACGAACATTCCACACGATCGTGTGATCAAAATTCAAAAGAATTTTTCTTGCTTCATCTGCCGGTCTTATCTTGTATTACTTAAATTTCCCTGCAAACTGCATTCCAGACCTGATTGCACTGGTGTAATTATTTATAGTGAGATATTCTTAATTTCTCGAGAACGATAATTGTACATAAAAATTTATCACGTGAGCGATCTAAACAACAGATAATAAAACGTATTATCTTTGAAAAACTACCAAGATTTACTGTAACGATATAACACGTGAGCGTTGAATAATCATACAGACGATTCTTACACAGTGCATCGTTTACAGAAAGAAAAAATATAGTAAAAGGTACCACGTGGTACAATCATTACGCAAGTTTGACTCACGTAATGTTCGTTTTGTGTAAGTTACTTAATTGTTTGTTATTATTTTTGTGTCTTGTTTACTGTACGTACAAATTTCAAAGATAACATAACATTGTTATCGGTGTATTACAGCAGTGAAAAAGAAAAAATATTTCTTTTGCCACTTCCTCAAGATTGTTAAAAAATTAATTCCTCCCCGTACTAAATAAAGAGGAGCTATCGAGCGATTAACTTATTTGTCGCAATTTACCGTCTAGCCGACACTGATTGTCAAGATTTAAACAACTTTTTCTCATCCGGCAGGATGTTGATAAATATACATTAATAGACAAACGAGAGGGGAACATGTTTTTTCCCCAAGCAACATATTAATTACTTATTGTTCGTCAATGTACTAATTAAATTCTAACAATGGAAATTGAAGGAAAATTAATCCACACGCATATTTTTCGAATGAAGTTTGTAATTATTTTACTTGAAACACGTACAAACTCACCTCAAGGTGACGCAATAACGAAATGAAAATTTTGTTTTCTCACGATTACTTTCGCGCCTAAAATTTCCTTACACTTTTGCTTACGTGTGTAGTATATGGTACGTATATGTAGACACCATGTAGCACCAACCTTAACGTTTCAGGAGCAGACAAAAGATGGCACTGACAAATCCACGAAATACCGAACCCGGGTATTTTGGATTGTCCTTAGACGTTCTTACGTAATAATAGGGACTCACCACATTCGATACATGCCGCCAGGCTTCAAGATTTGTGCACATGATGCCCCAATGCAAAAGAAAATAAATCACTAGAAATATCACTGAAAACAAGAGCGCTGCCACGACTTTATAATGGTACATAAATCCCGGCAGACGCCTGATATTCATCCCGTCCGTTCGGCGGAGCCGATTTCGTTAAAAGGTGTGACAAATTATCAATAACAAATGTCATTTCCCATTGTTATTTCACCGGTATCATTCGCTGATGAAAATACAACGCATACAATAGACTCTCTTATCATTTCGTTTTCGTTTAAGAATTATGAATTTTCGCGTTCACGTATTGCTGTCAATGAGGCACGTGCCCAGACTCACTGCAGGATTAGGTCGAATGCGGTATAATCTGCGGCACGCGAAGCGTCGCGACGCTACTGCGCCCGTCTGGTGGGAATTTTGGTGCGCGAGTGGCGTCAGTGACGTATCAATATCTACGAGAGCCTGTGGCTTCGTTCGCTATGGTCCAGATCACATGTCATATAGTATAAATAAATAAAATAGAAGGAATATATCTCTGCGTGGAGTTTGTTTTTCTTCTGCTTTTAGTTACAGTTTTGAGTTTTTCCCACTTTTTAGGATTTTTGACTTTTTAAATTTATTCATTATTCTGTTCGATCCCAGATTTTGGCGCTTCTTCGTGATACGTGTATGCTTGGTGCAGTTTATGGATCGGACTGGATTGGACGAATTGAGAGAACCAACAGACTCGATCAAGTACACGAGGGTGTAACATTTGCTTCGACACGTCCTCTTGCATTTCATCTTATTCACCGTGTTGGCGTCGATCAAATAATTAGTGCGGTGCCAGTGCGTGAAATTGCTTTTCGAGTGTCAGTGGCACGTTTTACATCACTGATTCGTAATGTCATATTGTGACAACTGGTCTCGGGCATCGTTAGACGCATCATGCCGTCGTCCAGTAACGTCACGACGTGACGTCACAGACGTGCACGGTCGGCAATTCAGAGTCGATGAAACTCTCGCACTTCTTTACTCCCTTCAGGTACATTTTGCGAGGGTGCACACCTTTCCAGCACAGGATCCTTGACCTGATTTACCAACTTCCTTTTGTCCCCTTTTTACCTGAGTATCGATCAGATCCTTCTTACATTTATACTCCCCTGCCCTTATTGTACATTATTTAATTTTTTTTCTACGATTCCCCATCAAACCTCACTTTTTTTTTCACTGTACTCCAATACAAAAAATGTTTCAATCCCCTTTCCCTCGTGCTTTTCAAATGATGCTATAAATCTCAGATCTTTGATTCGTTCACCCAATGCATCCCCCTCTTAATATAAGTTATGATTTTCTTTTTCTGCCCCCCCCCCCCCCCCC